AAATCCAATTATCCTTCTTCGTAAAGAATAAGGTCATTGACTGGACTTGCATAGACTTTTTGTTTAATGTCACCCCAAAATAAAAACTCCAGTGGTGTCAATTTTTTTCTTGTTTTGTAGTTCTTAGTTCATTTTTGTAGTTTGGCCACTTAACTCTGAAACACCCTGTATAAAATATAGTTACAAAAAGCGCACAATTTTTCCCCAAAGGGAAAATTTATCAAAGTTCTTGGCAGGGGTGCCCATCTCCCCCTTTCCCAAGGTCGATGGCGCATGTTCCTGTCCCCGGCCATCCAAGATATTTTATTGCTTTCCTCTTCTTAAAAACGGTGCAAGCAAAAGTGGAATTTAAAAATTCGTTTATTATGTACAATTACACATCCTTTACTCCACAGGCGGATCTAAGGGGAGGGGGGCTTTCGGGCTGCAGCCTCCCCCCCCAAAATGGTAAAATGTAACCATATTTTACAGAAAAAAATTATAAAAACTATCTCTTAAAGTATTCTTGTTCTTTTAATTATATTTAATAGGACTTCAAGAACAACTTAAACACCAATTCATATAGGTAATTAATTTCTTATTTTTTTTTTTCAAATTAATTATCGTAATATGTATATAAAAAAAATCTGGTGCGCTCAACACATAACTTTCACTTACCTACATATTTTGAATAGAAATTATTTTCTGGCAATGATGGGCTATTATAAAACTTTTTGAAGTGCTTTTTAAAGGGAACTAAATCTTAAAGCTTACCGATAACAAGTCATTAAGACCATTATAATAACAAAATGTCTATTTAATATATAGAAGACATTCAATAAAAATCAATTCACTATATCTGAGTTTATAAACCACAGAATGACTAGCTCCAATTTCAACATTTTTGAGTGATGTCATTTTAGTGATATTCTTAGTTGAAAAAGTTATCTATGCAGACAATGAGTAAGTTGATTCCAGGAGCCGTGATTGTAGTGTTGTAATATAGAATTGAGAATACAAGTATAAATTTAGGTACTACTTTCTTATGAAAGGTGTTCATAGGAAATACACTTTATTAAATATCTCTAGAAAAAAAGTTTTTTTAAGTCTCAACAATTAAGAAAATATATTTTAAATTTATGAAAATTTTCACCTCTTCAGGGAACATAACCAGAGACTATATCATTTCTCCTAATTGTCCGAATTTAACGATCTTTTTTTTTTGTTTTTTTAGAAAATTCCATAAACTATGGAAAACTGAGATTCCAAAATTTTCACGATCGCAATACTTACCCTTACTATATATTACATATATACGTAAGTGAAAGTAAAAATATTTTAAAATCGCGATATCTCTACTAATAGTGCTTTGATTTCGATGAAACTTCTTTTATGTTTTAGGCAATTTAAATATCTTCGAAACATTTTATCACAATATCGACATAAAAGCGTATACTTTTTGAGTTATTCGGAATTTAATTTTAACATCCCTCGTAACTTTTTTCCAGCTTCTTTTCGTTGAAGTATGTTATATAGATAAATTTAAAGGGTATCGAGAAAAGGACATGAGCGAAGTTTCATTGAAATCGGTGCATTCGTTTAGGCGCTACAGTCTGTAGGAACGCAGGTTTTTCTGCATTTTTATTTTTTTCTCCTTTATTAATTTATCGAATTCTTTCAAAAGTTATATGTAGCATTTTTTCGTAACTCTGAATAATCCGAAATGGTTAACTTTTTAAAATAAACCATATTAAAGGTACTTTAGAGGAAGACATATATGAACATTGGGCATTTAAGGCCTGTAAAGTGACATCAACGGGGATAAGACCTAAATGATATTAAAGACCACTTAATTATACAGTGATACACCGAGTTTGATCAAAATCGTTAGAGTCGTTTTTGAGAAAATTGTAAAAATGTGTTTTAGCGTTCATATAAAGTGGCACTTCCGGTTAGTTGATTTTAACGAAAAAGTTGCTGTCATATCCGGCCCATATACAAACCTTAAATACTTAATGTCAGTTTCGTACTACTTTTCGTTTATGAGCTAGACTGTTAACACACACACACAGACCATTTTGCGACACTTAGTTATTTGAACTCAGGGGACCTCAAAACATGTATTTTCGTTGAAAATTGAGATTCTAAAATTTTCACGATCGCAATACTTACTCTTACTATGTATTACATATATACGTAAGTGAAAGTAAAAAAATCTTTCGGACTGAAGTCCTTCTCCCCCCCTCCAAAAAAAAAAAATTAAATCCTGGATCTGCTAGTGCTACACTCTGTTCTATACTTCCACTTCTTTTGATTTGAATTTTTTCATTTTGAAAATTCATTTCTCCATCGAAATGTGCCCTCCCTGAAAATTCAAAACCCCATTAAAATGCGCCCCTCTCCTAAACAATTCGAATGGCGCAACTTGCGTCATGAAACTCCCTTCTGGGCACCTTTGGTAATGAAATGTCATTTACAAACGTGGTCATAGAAATTGCATCGCCTATTTCTTTTACTTTTATGTTGATGACGTTGATTCCACTGAATGATTTTTTTTTAAATATAAATAAATAAAATTAAAAGAAAGGTTGAAAGGTATTAAAACAAAGGTAAATAAAATAAAATTTAATAAAAGTTTTACCGGGTAATGCAGTTTCTATGACCACTACGGTAATGGCTTTTTATAATAAACCTACAAAATGTTTTAAAATCTAATTACGATTTGTTAACAACTATTTAAGTGTAGTTTCTAATAGACGTGATCTGTTTATATAAGTGATGATTTGTAATTGGAGAACAGATGGAAGTAGGGCATCGCTATCAAGTACCCATATAATCGTATGAGATACCCCGCATTTCCATCTGTCAAAAGAATTAGCTAATTGAAGAATGATATTGTTAACGCATCCTTATCTTCCTACTTACTTTGTATCTATGTCAAAATGTTTAGCCATGCAGAAGTATTGTTTTTCCTCCTGAAATCTGCGTACAAAAAAACATAAAGAATGAATCTCGAATGACATCAAGAGAGGAGTTGAACTAATATTTGAAATGGCATTGGCTGAATGTAAGTTAAATTGTGTTACAATACTGCCGCCAATTATTTCAGTATTAAAAGACAGTCAGTGCGTGGCTCGCTGCAGCATATATGAATATAAGTCTGAAAAGCCATGTAGAAATTGCAGAATATTAAAAGAAAAGAGAATTATTTCCAAAAAAAACGACATTGTTCAAAATGGACATCAACTTGGGTATGTTTTGACATAGATTATTCACGCTATAATAAACTAAAATCCCATTACCATATCTATCTTACAATATTATTATGATTATATAATTGTAATTGTGAAGAATTATTCTCACAAATGATAGAATTTCGAGTACAAATTATTTAAATGTTTCTAGTAGAGATCTACAGAGTCTGCCCAAATTTTGGGAGTATAATGCCCCGCTGGAAACATTTATAATTTAGAAGTCAGCAAATTTTTGTTGAAATTTACCAACCTCTAAATTCTGCTGTTAGGGGCAATTGCCCGCTTCGTCCCTACCTAATTCTACCTGTGCCCCCAAGGGGGTGCAACACTCCCAAAATTTGAATGGACTCTGAGCATTTTAGAAAAACAACATTGCCAGAGAATTGTGTATCAAAGGACTATATACAGACTGTTAATTTTAAAATGTTAGAATAACATTTTAATATTCGGAATTTTTACATCGAAATATTCAGTTTATGGCTAATTAGTCGACGGAAGAAAGTTTAAAATTTAGTTGTATGTGATTAAGAAAGTCACGCCAGGAGATTGAAGTTGCAAAAATACACCCTACTGTTCAGGAAGGTTCCACTTCACACTATGTGGAATTTGAGGTAAATTGTTAACAGGGAAATATTAAGGAAGGATCCATGTTGCTAGGAATTACAAATATTTCTTTCCCATATCTCTTCAACTGGCTAGAGTTTCAAAACGTTGTCAGTGTGATAATGATCAACGACAACTGCAAAAGTTTTGGACAAATATGATTTGATATGATGGCGAAGCTTCCAAATAATAAGCTCTATATTCCAATTTCATCGTTGCATTCGTCTATTCAAATACGTAACCTAATGCATGTCCCTTGCCAGCAGACTGGGGTTTTGACCAATCAACTAAAAAATTGTAATCAAAAACGTCTACAAAAATCTTGTTCAAAGGTGATTTGATACCCCCTCTCTATCATATAAAAAATGTTTTTTTTTTTTGTTTTTTTTTAGTATGCAGCACATAAGGTAATAAAAAAAATATTGAAAAGAGAAATTCTGCCATTTTGACGGCTATAAATTGAGAATTTTATTTGAATATAATTATTATCATAAATAGCGCAACTGATTAATCTATGAAGTATGATATGAAGAGTAACCTTCCATAACTTACTCATATGATTATTGTACTTTTTTTAAGCAGTTGCTATAATGGTCACTAATTATTATTGTTTTTATAAGTATGTTTATAGCAATGATCCAAAATTGTATCGTCCCCCATTGCACTAGTTTAGGTGTAATAGTCGCACACAATTCGTTAGAATTTTTAGGCTTAAGAGAGTTCCTGCAAATTAAAATATACCCAGAGTAAATTAATCAATTTATGGTTTACAAACGTGGATGATTCCGATATAGTCTTAATACAAAATATAAAAATGAACTGTAGCATACCCTTCAGTATCTCGACTGTGGTTAAAAAAGTAATTGTTAAGTTCTGCTCTTGAAAAGCAATAAACGACATGTTAACTGTTTTCTTTAGATTTATATATCCTCGAAACATAACAATAATATTTTATAAATACTATAAGTTAATAGAGTTTTAGTGTCTGTGGTTTTGTCGAGATTGCAATCAAAAGTCGTAATTGTGTGGGGCTGCATTTTATAATTCCAAAGTTTTAAATATTTATTACAAACGCAAACGGTAATATTTATTCCGTTTTATTCAATTTTTTTGTTAAATATTTACAAACTAAAGTTCTTTAAAATATTATGTTTGAACTAATTTTTGCTAATATTTTTATCATTTGTGGGAACACTGGAACTCGAGGGCAGCCATTATTATTGTTGATAGGTGTAGCGTTGTCTGGATTGTTTTTATTTTAGTGGTAAGACTTTTTTCAATCTTTGAACTATTGTGGATTTCAGCGTCAATTTACAATAACCATATTAATATAAGTTACTCTGTGTCATTCTTTGTGCTGTGCTTTCTTTAATTCAAATCGCTTGATATATCATCTTATCACTAGTTTCCATTTGACAACTAATCTAAATGAAGTAAATTTTGTCTTCCAATTTGTTCTTCACATTGTTTGCCTTTTTTTTAATGAATTAAACATCAATACTATTTGTTTACAAATAATATAATCAGTTAATTTATTCTTAACTCTTTTGTTTTGAAGGATATGGACGATTTGGATGACATGGAAACTGTTGAAAGTCTGAATTATGGTGAAGAAGGTGATGGTGATGAAGAAGAAACAAAACAAGCTTCGAGTTATGAAACAAGGAGTGAAGTTTCAGAATATGATACCCGGAGTGAAGCTAGTACCGCCAAATCATCTCGAAGTAGATCATCTGATGGGAGACATAGACATCGCTTAGTTGTGGTTAGAAAAGAGACTTATGATTTTGCCACTAAATTGAACTACCTATTTCGTGATGCAAGATTTTTCGTCATTAAGAGTAATAATGCAGAAAATGTTGCACTCTCTAAAGCTAAAGGTGTTTGGTCTACATTACCTCAAAATGATGCAAAATTAAACCAGGCTGTAAGAGAATCGAGAAACGTTATCCTTGTATTTTCTGTTAAAGAAAGTGGGAGATTTGCTGGTTTTGCGAGAGTTGTTGGAGAGTCCCGACGTGGCGGAACTCCCATATCTTGGGTATTACCAGCTGGTCTCTCTGCGAAGGCTTTGGAAGATGTTTTTAAAATTGATTGGATTTGCAAAAAAGAACTCCCATTTTCTGCCACAATGCACTTATATAACCCTTGGAATGAAGGTAAACCAGTTAAGATTGGTAGAGATGGTCAAGAAATAGAACCAAGAGTAGGAGCAGAATTATGTAGGCTTTTTCCTGAAGATGAAAATATAGATCTAACTCCAATCTTAAAGAAATCAAAGGAGCGAGCTCGACAACTGAAAGAGCGGCCCCAAGTAAGAAATAGAAGAAGGCCAGAAAGTAGAAAGTATAGGCGAAGATTCCGAAGAAATGCTAGGAGAAGAGATTTATATTCTGATGCGTATATGAGATTAATTCCACCTATTCATTATGCACCACCTCCTCCTCCAATGTTTGGTTATGATCCCCCACCTAGATATTATGATGGGCCAATATCAGATTATGGTTATGACAAAAGGAGTTATGATAGAACTGTAGAAGAATTCCTGTGGAGGACCAACAAACGAGATCATGAACGTAGCAGAGAGAGGCGCTACAGGGAACGTCGATAAGTGTCTGTGTTCAATTTGTGTTTTATTTTATATGTATAGACTTTATATGAACTCATTTAAATATACAAATTTCCTATTGAATTTTCAAAAGACTGTTTTTCAAAGACTCTGCCTTTGTTCTTTTTAAAGAACTATATGTTTATACATGTCTAAAGACTGAGTATTTGTATTTTAAAGAATTGTGTTGTAGTGCTATAGTTTTCAAGTGCCTTTAGATTTACCTTTAAATGTGTTGGACTTAGGTATACCTGTTACCTCCTACAATCCTCCCAGGAATATGTGCCTTAATCCTACCTTGACCTACCTAATTATTGAAGTTTATGTGAATTAGTGGTACATTCCAATTTTATAGACTTTCTTATTGAAGGGTGCTCATTGAATTTCCTCAATGAAGTTTCTTTGTGGTAAAGTGATGATTTTCTGAGACTTTCAACTTTTAGTCCATTAGAACTCTGCTAGCTGTATAATATTTCATTATTTCTTTATTTTCTTAACCATCAAATGAACAGTTAAAACTATATTTGCTCAGTGTTAGCAACTAAGTCACCCAAAAATCTTATCAAGCAAAAATTGTTTAATTAGTAAGTAATGTAATTACATCATCTGTTCTTCAGTTAATGGTAAGTATCTTCGGTAAGTAATTTCAACTTATGGCTTCCATTTTTTTTTTTCTCTTACTACTAAACTGATGTAATGATGGATGTAAATGTTTAATGCATTCTACAAATGAAAAATATGTATTTCTCACACATATTCTTTATTTGTAAAAATTAAGACATTGGATTCTGTGCTTTTAAATTTATTGTTAATTTATTTTATTTACTTTCAGGAAAAGTGTTAACTATCAGCAGTGATAGGGGAGATCCATCTGCTATTTGACTTAAGATTAGGGATTAGTTAAGGGAATGGTTCTTCCAGTGAGTTTTCCACTCTTGCTTTAAAACAGGATTCATTTCAACTTGCCCTTATAATTTGATTAATTTTGTTGAGTAGACCAATGCCCCAGGTTTCTTTTAGTGCCCAAGCTTTTCCTGTACTTGGCCACACAGCACAAGTTATAATTTGCATTACCAGTGTTTAAATGTTGCCTACATTGTGCTACAAAACACCAGTGTTAGTTCTTTGTTATTTCTGCACCATTGATTAAACCTTGTTGAGATCCTAATTAAATTAAGAAGTGTCAATCTAATGTGGTAGCTGAGTACAAGACAGCAGAACCCTACTTTAAAAAATATACCAAAATTAGATTTATCTCCATCCTTTAGTTAAGAAATAAACTGCTTATTAATTAAATTCCTTTTGAGATGAAATTAAAATAGTAAAGAATTTTAAAAGTGGCTGTTTAAAAATACTCCTGCATTCCATGTACAGTGAGGCTTTGAGATCTTTAATCCATTACCAACAATTGTAAACAGTTATTTTAATTGTTCATCCAAACTTTAATATAACAAAATTATTTAGTAACAACTCTTTTTTCCATAGCTTCGTATTATTATTATATTGTACAGGCATTATTTTAATAACTCAAAAAAGAACATACAACTAATTTGAGTGTTGGGAAATTAGCTTATTTCATAATTATTCTTTTAAAATATTAAAGTACTAACAACCAACCTGGTGCTGAAAATATTTTTTTCTTAATTGCTTATATTCATTGCTGTCCGATGAGAAAAAGCAGCTCCCACCTTGGGTTAGACCCATGGTATAACTTGAAATCAAGGAATTGGTTGTTTCAATTATGTTACTTTGTATTCATCTTACTCCAGGTTATTATATGTCATCAGAACTCAACAGTTACGAGGAAATAAATTTGTATGGAAACAAGATGTGCTCTACGAAAAGATAAATAATAAATACATGTTTTATTCTCCATTGCCGATCTTCAACATTTGCATAAATGAGTATTTACGGATGCTGTTTATTGATATACTTTCTGTTTTCTTTATCTGCAGTAACTTGTGGAACACCGATAAAGTTATTTCTGTACATTTTATAAAGAACTTAAATTACTCCAGCTTCCAAAGAATTTATTTTGTTTTTCTGAACGATTAAACTATATTGATTGCTTCTGTATTTAATGTGTCTGCAGCCAATGGATCAATTCAGAACTTGGAAATATTTAATTAAATTTCTCTTTTTATTTTTATGGAGAGCAACTATCTATTTTTTTGTCTTCAAAACGCAGATTGTTTCCATTAATTGTTCCAGATGGTTCATTAGTTTTCTTGAAAATGCCTTTTAATTGTTTTGCTGACTAACCTTTTCTTTTTCTGAAATGAAGACAATTCCAATTGTCATATGTAAATGTACTTACTATTTGCAGAGTAATAATTTATCATTTCAACTTAATGTCTTGTATATTCTAATATTACATTTTTATAGGTTGTTGAAACATTACATGCTTTACAAACTTTTTTCCCTTCTACAACTGGTGTTGTTAAATCTATTGAGAAGATTGAATATTTTTTTATTAAATTGAATTGGAAAGAGTAAAAGTTAATTTGTTACCAAATCCCTTTGGATATAAAATTAAGAATAAATTTGGCCTTAGAAATATTATAACTTAATAAAAGTATTTCTTTTATTTAAAAGAAGATGAGAAAGGGAATATTCAAATGTGATTCATTTTTCTAGGTATTCAGTGATTTTCCTTTCTTTTTTTAAAAAAATAGAGGAGTGATAGGGTGCTGACTTCCAATGCTCAAGGTTCCAAGTTTGAGTCCAGCTGATGGTTAAATTATTTATTCTCTTTCATCACCCTTTGGTCGATTCTGGGTTTGGGAGACCCTCTTTGGGCACACAGAGCCTCCTATAATGCGGGTACTATTAATTAAATACCTTGGTTCTGTGTAATATTGGTCAAATCACTTCTTTGCACTAGTCATAAAAATAAATTTTATCAAAGATTGATCTATTTAAAAAATATTTTTTGTTTTAAGATAATTTAATTCTTCATATTTGTATTCTTAAGTTTCAACAAGACTCAAAAGTATCATCATAAAAAGTACTTATTGGTTTACAACTTTTCACATTTTTGTTATTCTGCAGCTTACTGGCCAGTAAAAGTTGAATATCCTGCGTATTTAGCTATTAAACTTAGATTTATTGTTCATAACTCTCGAAGAAATGGATTCAAGAAACATTTTACTATTGTTTCAATTCTGAGATATGGCGAAGAAAAAAAAAAAACTGATAAGTTTAGGAATATGAAGATGTTAGAGGTTTTCATAGTAATTATTTATCACCAAAGTAAGTTAATTAAAAAAGTAATAATTTAATAACTAAGTATGTAAATGTTACTATTATCTAGTATTCGAAACGTCAGGTCAATTTTTTGATTGATTTAAAAAAATATATATTTATTAGTGTACAAGTGATTGCATGCATGTGTGTGGCTTCAAATACTGTATGTAATGAAGTGAGTATTAAATTGGTTTAATTCTGATTGAATAACAGTGATTATGTCTTAGTAGTTTGCAATATTTTTTCAATAAAATTTATATATTTTCTCCCCACTTTTTATATAGTTGGTTTATTAACTTTAAAAGTTAGAACAGGATTTTTTTTAAAAACTGGACCATTATAAATATGCAATGTGTTTTTAATTAGTTAATTAATGGAGGTCAAATTTTGCAGAATTTTTTTAGTTCTGAAGATTCTATTAATTTAAGAGCATATAAGGTAGTCTTGTTCGCCATAATATATTATTACATAAAGAAAGACTTCCAATTAAATTAACCGCTAAAAAAAAAAATTTTATTTAAGCATAATAAAAAAAATTGGGTATAATTTATTTTCATTAGCACTTAAAATTAAGTGCACAGGATAGAAGGGAAAATTCTACTTTCAATGCAACCTGTGGTTTTCCAGTCATGCAATATTTGATTAAGATAAAGTAGATTTTAGAAGAATGAATAAGGTATGACCCTCTTTTTATTTTCATCTTTCCTTGCCTCTCAGTGATGCAGATTTTTGGTAGAAGTAGTTTATACTTCTACCACTTATCTTTTGGTTCTTGGTCTTCATTAGCAGAGGTTGAATTGATCATCCCCCACTAAATCCTTCAGACCTTACAGGAATGCTTCATAGTAGGTTTATTTATCTTTCCTTGCCAGCTGAGGGAAATCTTCCTCAATGATGATGTAGAGTCTGGTTTCCCTCAATTGTTTGGCCCTCATTGCTTCAAAAAGGGCCAAATTACTGGAGTCTGACCCTCTCAGTTTACTATAAATAATTAAATTGAAATTTATCTATTTGCAACAAGCCAATTTTCTATCAAAGATTTGATTAAACATTAAATGTGTTCTGCTTGACATTACTTTAAAAAAAAATATGCACAAATCCAAAGGATGATTTACCTTACCCTGACTTATAATGAGATTTTATAACAGTTGTTGAAAATAATAAATAAGCAATTTCTTTATTGATGGCTTTTAATTATTGTTTTTCATCAAAAGAATAACCTACTTTATCAATAAAATTTAAGGATTAATAAATTATTCAGCGCTAATTTAGAAGTATGTGAAAGTACAGTGGGCGCCAGAGTTTCAGAAATCCTGCTGCAGTGTCATTTTTGCAGCTATGGCTTGCTTTTTAATATTATTGACATGATCATAATTCAGATATCTTATTCAAAATTTTTATCAGTTGATCTCTACCACAGTAGAGATTGACCAATACTCCATAGCTATGGGATTTAATTACTACTCCAGTTGTTGAAAGACTGTATGGAGTAAAATTGTTTGTGCTCCTGAGTAGGTTCTGCAGGCCTCTGGTCCCTATTCTTGTACATTTTTTTAAAGGGATAAATAAGTCTATACATCAGGGAGACTATAATTAGTAGTGTTTTTTTTTTTTTTTTTGTGAGTATGTGACCTCTTTCATCCCTGTATTACTTTACACCCGTTTGGGTAAATAACGTTTAAAGTAGCAGGTCAGGGGCAACCCACAGATTGGATGGCGCTAGTATGAGCCCAGGGTGTTTGAAAATTACCCAGAGTCATATTTACCTAATGAGTGTTATTTCTGTTCAATTTGGAGAATGTTGGGAAGTAATCCAGCACCTATGGGCCTTGGCCATAATCAGAAAATACTCAACTTTATCCTTAATAAAGTTAATTATTTTTCTATAAGGAAGCGCTAGAGAAAACATTGGGGTGCAGTCGCGGCACTACTGATGCCATCCGAAAAAAATAAGTTGAAACCTGTTTTGAGATTGACATTTTAGAAATATAAATAATAATCATTAAAGGATATGGAAGATAATTATACAAATGTTGAAAACAATTTTTTTTTATTTATCTCGACAATCTTAGTAGAGAATTATCTTAAAATTTCGAAAACTTATTCACGACTTAACTATTAATGGATATTTTAGTCCGAGAAATCCACAGATAAAAACCAACCAGGGTCCTCATATTCATGGACCGATTTCTGGTGCCTGTTCGGGGATAATTAAAACTAATGAATCCTGTTTTACCAGGTCCTCATATCATGGGTTCACCCTCTTAACTTCAATTGAGAGTGGTGCTTATTTTGCGGCTGCTCTAAAGTCTTTTTTAGGCCGTGGCTTGAAAATAATAATCCTAATTTTCTCACACATTTTCAATAAAGGTTCACCACGTACAAATTCTATATTTTTTTCCAAAATGTGTTTCGTTTTGGTGATTCCTTAGAATTTCGCTAGGGCTCAATCGATAATGATAGTTCATTAGTAGTTTTAAACATCTCTTCAGTCTTTTCCTTTTCTCAATCTTACTTTCCATAAACGCATTCACATATTTTTCATGACTACCAAAAGTCTTATATTAAATCTTAGCCAGTTATGCTTTCTTTAACACTCTTCTACTCTTTTAGTTTATATTTAGCTTCCTTTAATTCTATCGTAAACTTTGCCAGAAGTAACAACTTCAATTCCCAGAGCCACTTTCTTTTTTTTTTATCAGAAACAATGTTTTTGCTAGTTGCCAGAATCAGTTCCTGAAAAGACTGCAGAGTCTGTATCTTGTTTTGTAGTATCAGTTGAGGTTAGTTGACTGGGAAGAACTGTTGGACGTAACACGTCACGAAGGTTAATTTACTCGCTTCTTGTTTTTTCCAATTGCTTAGCTTAGTTGAATCAAATGCACTTTCTGGAATTACTTGCATGTTGAATGGGTAGATCCCTGCTTTCACGAAACCTGACTGGATCACTTTCGGTTCTAAGTCCTTCAATAGTGAGCTAATAATTGTTGAGAAATGTTTCTTAGGGAGCTTCTTGCCAATGTTATGGTTTTGCCATTTAACTAAGTGAACATCCCAGGCGCTCTTCAACGATTTCATCACGCTAAGATCTAGAAGCTGCAGAATGTGAGATGTTTGAGAAGGAAGGATCAGGATGGTTATGCTTTCCTGCCTGGCAGCTTTAATCAAGTTTAAAGACAAGTGTGTCGTATGTCCATCACAAATCACTAGAGCAGGCTTTGCATCTCCTAGGAAAGGTAGAAAATTCAATTTAAAATATCGCTCAAAGACCTCTGAATCCGCTCACCCATTTTCTGTTGCAGCATAAGCCAAGCCTGGGTAACTTACTTCCGAAGGGGCTTGCCACTCATTCAATACATTTTCCCCCTTGAATATGATCAACGGTGGTACTTTGTCACCATTCGCAGAGACCATCAGTAAGATAGAAATGTTGTCAAGCCCAGGCGAACTGGTTGTCAAAGATGGCTGATCATTACCATCCACAGCCTTAGATTTTGTTGGATCTCTTGTGAAACTAATCTCATCCAGATTGAAAATTTGTTGAGATTTATCCTCCAGCCCCAGGTGTTGAATGGACTCCCTTAGTTTTCCAAAATAAGAATGAACAACAAACGGATCCACGCTGTTTTCTCTGTCTACTCCGTTACTTTTTGTTTTTTTCAGTGACAGGTTGTGCCTTTTCATAAAACTATAAAGCCAATCAAAGTTGGGTATTGAGTCCTTGAAAGGTGTTTTTATATCGTTACTCTTGACATATTCGCCTACCAAGGACAATATTTCACTTCTAGATAAAGCAAACCCAAAGCGCTCCATTTCTACGAGGCCGAGAGCAATGTCATGTTCATCAGAGTCTGATAAAGCAGTGGATCTACTCTGAGTTTTTGACTTCGATCCTCTTCTGCCTCTTACATGGTCTAAAAGAGTATTCAGTGGAATCTTATAGATTTTAGCCGCTTTGTAAGCTTTCATTTTCCCTGCTTTTACTTGAACTACTGCACTTTGTAATGCGTCGGAGGTGTACTGATTTCCCCTTTCCGTTTTCCTTTTATAACTTCTCACCATCGTAAATAATGATAAACTGAAAAAAAATTAAGTAAATGAAATAAACTCCGACTACAGTAAAGAAAATATAAGGCCACGTAAGGTGTCTTAGCTAAGTTTTTGATTCACTAATCCCGAAATAAGAGACAGCAGTAGAAACTATACACAACATACACTTTCTTCGCAACAGATATTTGCATATCAAAGGTCTTGCGTCCACAAGATACGTGAAAGATGGAGCATTGACATTGTATGAAAAGACTCGCTTTATGGTATGAATATTTGCCGCAACTATTCGTCGTATGACGCTCTATCACTCATTTTACGCTACTAGAAGAGGCGAGCCCAAAGAGATACATAAATTGTAAAATATTTTGAAGAACAGCTTTCAGGTTCCACTAACCAAAAAATTAAAAAAAAAAAAAATTCAGAACTAATAATGAACAAACACTGATAACGCTGCACAGCAGGAGCTGACATAGCCACCTTAATCAATAAGTTGGAACTGATATCTTACTACTTCTAATATCTCATCTTAACGAACTCTCGTGGCTGATCTATGAAATAGGGTTGGGAAATCATGCTCCACTCAAGGGCAGTATTGGTTTGGATTTCAAGACTATAAACTTAACTCACATAACTCAATTGCTTTTGAAAAAATCATACTTTTTTTTAAATTAAACTTCATGTTTAGTATCAAATGTTATATATAATATAAATAGGAGACCTAGTGGCTGAGCCGAACAAGGTTTCATAAATATTTAAAAGAGGCAGTCTACTTCAAATCTCCTAAACTGAGAATAATAGTAGTGACCCTGATCTGTGTATTGGAGCTCATGATATGTATATCAATTATAATTAAAAATAACCATCCAGAGTTTTGGTCCATTGAGTCTCCTTTAGGAAACACATAGGTGGTGTACATATAAAAATATTTGTTTTTAAATAAATTTTATACAAATATTCCTCATTTATGTTTTATGAGAAAAGTAAGGAGACTTTAGAAAAAATATTATACTAATTCATAATCATCAGATTTTTTGGAATATTATCAGTACTAAAGATATTGTGGAGCAAAAAGAAATTACTTTTATTTTTGGAATAAACAAAATAACCTTGTTCACTATTTTTAAATTTTATTTTAAACGTGTCGTTTTCCTCTGTTTAATGATGTAAAAATGTTCCTGTTTAGAAATTATTTAATTTTTAATGACCAAATCATAGCCTAAAAAGAATATAATTATTAATTTAATTTTCGTTTAGTTCGAAAGGGTGCTTCTGGCAAGGCTCAATACACGCGATTACCTCATTGCTCCATTAAAACAATAAATCGTTTTTAAGACAATTATTTTTCTGATTTTCAAATGCAATAATAACCTCATATTGTTTTCTCCTCCAACTTGGCTCATAGATCACAATTAAAACACTAGTGTTCAAATTCTTTATATTTGAACATTTCAGTAATGCTATGTCTTTCTCTTCAGTATTTAAAATATAAAAAGAATAATAAAATAGAATACCAAGAAAGGCTTCCCAACTGCTTACATTTTAAAACTTATTTACACTGCATTACTTTTTTCCAATCTTTAAGAACTAGTCACTTTAAATAAAATTCAACAAAATAGATTTAAAGTGAATGGTAGAGTGAGGTGGATCTCAAATACTTCATCAATGAAATCTGATCAATGATTAAATACAGTGTCTATAAAAAATTTCAAAGTATAATTAGTGATGAGTAGAGTCATTAAAATTATTTTCATATAATTTGATTACAAATATATAAAACAAACTAAGTTCCTCCTTTATAATTAAAATATGTTCCACAGATTTATTTATGATTAATTTTTCTTATAGTTATATTTTTGCATGACATTTTGGCCTCTTCAAACATGATTCAGATGGGCAGTATTTTAAATAAAATATTTTAAAATACAAAATAAAATAATTTTCTGTATTTTGAATTTTAAGAAGTAAAATACAAAATAGATTGTTTGTAAATGTACTTTGATTTTAAAATATAAAAAAAAAAATTGTATTTTATTTCAAAGATACTAATACAAAAAGAGTATTTTATTTTAATTTTAAAGAAATAGAATTAATCATCAAATATAGTAGGTTATTCGTATTATATCCTGATCGCCCACCAGAAGGTATTTTGTTTTTTTGTGATTAAAATACTTTTAGAATTTTCTGAAAACCATTTAAATACTTTGTAATGTAAACACTATATTTTAAAAAGGTTACTCCCCTTTTTAACATGACCTAGGATAAGGCGACAAGGGCCATAAGAACCAACCCAGGAGATACCATCTTTGACCGCTTCACACAACACATGGCGTACGCAGATGACGTAGAGATTGTGGCAAAGATGCTCCCAGCGCTGGTAGGTGCATTAAAGGAATTTGAGACCGCTGCAGCAGCTCGAGGTCTACAAATAAACGAAGCGAGACGTGGGTTATCTCAGCAAAACATGAGAGGGCTCTTGGAGTGTGGAAGCGCAAGATTCTCAGGATTTACGGGCCTGTATGCGAAGAATGTGTTTGGAGGTCCCGATACAATTGTGAGTTGCGACAACTTTACAGGGACACAGATCTCATTAGTGTCGTTAAGGCAGGACGCATAAGATGGTTAGGACATGTGAAAAGGATGACAGCGGACTGAGTGTCAAGGAAAATATTATATGGGCGACCTGGAGGAGAGGAAGGCCACTACTCCATTGGCTGGAGAATATTGAGGCAGATTTGAGATACCTTGGTGTAAGGAAGTGGAGGGCTGTTGCATTGGACTGAGACGAGTGGCCACATATTGTTGAGAAGGCCAAGGTCCCACACGGACTACTGCGCTGAGAAGTAAGTAAGTATATTTTAAAAACAAAATAGGTGGCATTTTAATAATGTATTTTATTTTAAAATACCTTTTTTTAATGCCTGAAATGATTTATGAGTATTTTATTATATGTTTAATACACACCGCCCGATTATTAATGATCTTGCTCATCCAGTGGATCAAAGACACAACTTTAAAATTTTGGATAAATGTTTTATCCATTATAGTCGATGGTATAGACCCCTTTTTATCACATTATCAAAATCTGCCTGAAACTTCGTAAATACCTTCATCTCATCGTAATCTACAAATATTTTAGTTATGAAAATTCTCGGGATTGGGGCATTTTCAATTTGGAGATCGGCAAACTTTGTCTATTTAATTAGATACTAAAACCTCGTAAATGTCCATTTGCTTTCCACTTGAATCGTAAGATAATTTCAGCACAAAGTCGAGAAGAAAGGTGGCCTTCAAAAATATTGAGACATTTGGCGTGACCAACACTCCCAAATTGTCGTCAATATAACGAGGTTATATAGGCCAAACGGTCCAATATTTTTGTAGACAACCTTTTTTTATCAATTTTGTGATCAAATTATCTTACAATCCAAGTGGAAAGCAAATGGGTATTTACGAGTTTTTAGTACCTAATTAAATATACAAAGTTTGCCGACCTCCAGATTGAAAACATCAGAATTCCAAGAGTTTTTGTAAACAAAATAGTTGTGGATTACGATGAGATGAAGTTATTTACGAAATTTCCAGCGGATGTTAATAATTTGATAAAAAGGGGTCTGTTCCATGGACTATTAAGTTGTCAGAAAGATCTGAACCAATACCATGGTATAATGTAAGCAAAATTTGAATGGTTAAAAAAATTTTACACTGGTACAATCAACTATAAAAATTATTTAATTTATATAATAATTTTAATTATGTCACTGTCCCACTGGATGAGTGCTATATGGTTATTTAAAGCAGGACAATTTCTGCTATATTGAATTTTTATATTGTTTTGTACACTTTCTTAAATTTTGTAGTAATTTCTGAAAATATATATTTCCTCTATTGATAAATATTATAATTAGTATCTATTAGAAAACTAGTAGTGCACATAATGAAACAATAAATTAGCACATATTAAACCAAATTGTATCACAGACATCCAAAAACAAAAAAAATCAATGCATAATAATAATCTCAAGAACTTCAGTTTTAAATGTCATTCAATTGTTGCTGGTAGGTTTTATAGATAAAAAAAAATATATGGCCACTAGCATGGAGACAGAGGAATATAATTTCTAACCAATTCAGTGAATTCAAAGATACTTCACAAATCGGAAGGTGATACATATATATTGGTTAAAATTTATTTAAAGTAATCGATTCAATATAAAACTAAAAAGAAGGTATTTTTTATAGTTCTTGTTACATTTTAGATTTTGAACATAACAGCTCTAAAACATAAAGATTTTAAACATCATGGTGTTATAATTGCGACCTGTGGGCAAAGTTAGAGGAGAAATTTAATATAGTGAAAGGTCAAATACGTGAAACTAATAAATCTCATTCACTCTGATCTGTATTTAAATCATTTAATAACAAACAGCAATTCTATTGAGTTAACATTTGTAAAAGTTCAATTATTTGACATTTAACTAAAGCAATAGATCAATTTTAAAAGATATATATGCGTGGAATAAAATGATAATCTTTAATTAAGAAAAAAAAATCATAGGATTAGTAGTATGTACACTTAAGATATTGTTTTGTAGTGGTAAAGAAGATTCAATTATTAAAGACAACTTTATTTTAAAAGAAATTTATACAAACTTAAATGAAAAAAACAAAAAAAAAGACTTATGTTATAGAATGGCTAGATAAGAGTTTTAAAAAGTAGGGACAAAATACAGCAGGTAGTTAAATCAAAATTTACTTTAAGATTAAAACAAGGAATTTTAGACTGTGATGATAAGTATTGGGTATTTGTAATAAATAATGAGTATTGCTTTCCCTACAGATCAGCAGCAAAGAATAAACAATCTTCAATCAAAATAAATTTCCTCTAAAATGTAACAAGACAAGTATTTTTATTCATGTTAGGAACCATCTTCCAGGTCTAATTCATCTAATTCTTGCTCTATTTCCTCCAGATCATCTTCCACGAACAAGTTTTCATTAAAGACAACCCCAGCTCCTTCGTCATCTAGAAAAAAATAATATAATTACTATGACTCAATGTTTATTAGAAAAAAACAAAACAAAGATATGTGAATTGTTTAAAAAAAAAATTAAAAACTGAACTAATAAAAATTATTAATTATAAAAAATGAATCATATGAAAATTATTTAGACTGAATAAGAATTGATAAAGAGAAAAAATATAACATTCCACAAATATGTGAATTAAAACTCTTTAGAAATCTTTTGATGTTTGAACCATGACAGAGGATCTATGGGGGTGGAGGGGCTTTCAGGCCAAAGCTCCCCCAAAATATTAAAATCTAACAATGTCTTATGAAAAAAATTATCTGTAAAAGTATTACTGTTCATTTAATTACATTTAATAGGACTTCAAGAATCATTCAAATTCCATTTCATAAAGGTATTTAGTTTTTCTCGTTGTTCCATAGTAATTATCATTATATAAATACAAAAAAAAAACTTTCGGGCTGAAGCCTCTCCCCAAAATTAAATCCTGGGTCCGCTAGTGAATCATGATATCAAGTAAAGCAGAAAAACAACAATTTTATCAAAAATATTGACAGAATACTCTGTATCAAATATTGCTAATGATTGTGGGGAAAAATGGATCTTTTGGAAAAAATCTGAGTTTTATTGGAAACTTTTATCATGAAACTCGTCAAAAAAATAACGTCAGTAGATATTCTATATTATTGGATTTATATTAGTAGATCCTTAACATTTCGCATGAAAACCTTTATAAAAATTATAGATAAGTAATATATAAAAGTTAGATTAACAATATGAAAGCCACAGAAAATTTATTTGTTCGCTTTATACACAAGCTTTTTAGGTAGCATTAAAGTATCTATGTCTATCAGTTCATTCTTCAAGTTTTAGATTTTCTTGTGATTTCCAACCACAGAGAAATTAATAACACATCAGAGAAGTCCTGTTTGATAGCTTCAACTACTTGCCAGCTCTATCTTAGGTTATGTTAGAATTGAGATGTAAGAGTTTCAAAAAGTAAATAATATCTTTCTTTATTTTCCATAATCTAAAGCTCTGATTCCAAATTCATTTGAACGACCTTTGCTTTTAAGATTGAAGATTAAAAAGACATGATTTAACTTTTATTGCTACTTTCTTGTCTATTTTGAATTTTAAATAATGATAATTATGTGTTCATGAAATGTTCATACTTATGGTTAATTGTTTCAGAGATTATTCAAACGAAGTGGGACATTCAAAGATAATCATACCTAGCATTTGCTCATTTTATCAATAATTTTCTTTCTAACATGACAGTAATGTGATGTTGCAATGCAGTAGCAAATGTGATTTAAAGTATTTTGTTAAAAATCTCATTTTAATTCTCCTACCTCTTAGAACTTGGGAACACACTTTTTTTTGTCTCTGTTGACATTAGAGACAATGTAGATCTTTTGCTGCCTTAACAAGCCTGCTCCATCTCTGCTTATCTTAAGCTATTTCTTTCCACTATCTACATGCAACTCTATTGCATCTTTGTTGATTCTATCTATCCATCTAGTTTTTGGCCTTCCACATGGTCTTTCCATGCCTTCTATTGAGGCATTCATTGTTACGTATAGACTTCCAGATGGATTGCTAAGAGCTACATGGCTTGCCCATCTTAACCTCCGTGCCTTCATATCATGGGATATTGATTGACCAGTTTCCGTAAGCAGTTCTTTACAGGTCTTTCTTCTCCACGTGTTAGAACTCTGATCCCAAATTGTGTCCAGGTTTCACAGCCATATATTAGAACTTATTATCATTCATTTGTTTGAGATTAAATTATGAATAATAGAATAATTATGCTTGCATTAGAGGAAATTAAATGAAAATGAAGGTGGTATACTCAGTACACCACACACACCTGGTTTTATGGATTTTTTGGGCATGCCAACTGGAGTGTTGAGACATCTATTTATTTTCCAATGTTTGCAAGAGGAAAAATTGAGATAAATGCAAATGTTGTTATTTTTATCATAAATACTACTTAAATAAGAAAATATAAAACAATTTAAATGGTAAACAAATGAAAAAATGAAATGAAGAATCTAATGTAACCTCACCTTGTGCTTTGTGGATAAGATTCTCGACGTGGTGGGAAAGGCGATCAGCAGGAGCTTCAGTTATAGTTCCTTCTTCTACTTCTGTAGCTTCAAAACCCAACCTGTCTAACTCTATTTCTCGATACTGCAATAATTTTAAATAAAGAAAAGGTAAAATTTAAATGTCACACTAAAATTATAGCAGAAACTAAGAAGGGATTTTACATGATTAAAATGTTTCTTTTTACTACTACTCTACTTTTGAAGGAAACCTTATTTTATGTAATAATTTCATATTTTGATAAATTTCATTGATTAATATCTCATTTCTATAAATTTAAAAAATATTACATTATAACAACATACGATGATTAAGAACCTTAATAATTCTGACAACTTTTTAACATGGGATTTGAACTACAAAAACATCCGAACTAGAGATTACAGTTATTAGGGATTCACAAAACACATACACATTTAAATTAAAAACTTATATCAACATAATCGCATACTTCTTTGCATTATCAAATGTTTCACTGTTATTTAAAAAGGTTTTGCAAACGGGCTAATGCATGTTTGTTTTTTTTCTGTTCTTCCCTACCTCGCCTTTTATGCTATACGGAATTTTACCGGGCCGGAGGATGAGGGTGGAGAATTAAAAATCCTCTCTGGCACCAGGACGCGAACTCGTACTTTTTTTTCAATCTCAAAACTTGGTTATCTGGTTGCCGGGCAACTCACGGTGCTGTGCACACACGTTAGCCCATTCAGCCACCCCACCCTCTGGACTAATGCATGTGTATAGCACGCATTACTTGGCAACCACAAAAACCAAAGATTACGAGTGCCAGTACTGTGTTTTTTTTTTAATATGGCAATAATCCCATTCACTCTCTACTGCCCCAGAAAACTCTTGTTTTGTTGAAATGGGAGGGTAGGGGTATAAAAAAAAATATAATCAAAAAGACTATGTTTTTATTTTCTTTGGGAAGAGAGGAAAGAGTCAAAGTATTAGCCAAGAGTAATTTAAAAGCTGTAAGAGAAACAATAGGGGATCCTTTATATTCATATAATAAAAATAGTTGAACTATTTTTGAAGAAATATTATTTTTAAAATGTTGGTCTACTTATATAATTTTAATTTGTCTGTTGTAATGATTTTTATTTTACATACCAAGGGTAAATAATCCAGTAAAATAAGGAAACTGCTATTTTAATGACGAGTTATAACTGTATTATATATCAGTTGTAGTTAGTAAGCTGTGATGTTTTTATTGCAGAAAATACTTGATAATGATAAACACTAAAGTCAAAATATAATCAATAACTTGTTTTTATTTATGATAGTTCAAACTTATTTAAATGACTGAAGTTATAGATATGATAATGAATGAGTTACAAGAAAAATATTAAGCCCAATGATTAATTTTAAAAACTCAAATAAAATGTTATTACTTACTTGAAGATTCCCTGCTTCTTCGTCCTCATTCATTTGATAAGAATTGAAAGCTTCATCTCCATCTTCCATCATGTCACCAGAAGCCAATTCTGGATTAAATGAGAACATTTCCCTACCAGAAAGCTGTAAAAGGAATGAATGTAACAAATTAAAATCAAAATCTAAGCTAAGATCATCCTGGGTAAATATTAATTAAACAATATGTTCCAAAGAATACTAACACCAGCGGCCCTTCCTGCTTTATAATCTTGCCTTTTCTTCTCTTCATCTTTTTTAGCAGTTTCTGCCTTCTCCCTTATTTTCCTTTTTTTCCAATCAAGGAAAGATTCTAAAGTAATTTTCGTAAATTTCACAGACGCAAGAGCTGCTCTTTCTTTTTCAATTAAATCTTCAAGAGAAATTTCTTCTTTCTTATCTTTCTTTCTATCCTAGAGAACAGAAGAGAAAATCAATTATAATTCTTCAACACACCTACTTCTTACATTGATGTATTCAATTTGTAAGCATTTTCATATAGCAATAACATTCAAATGAAATTCCTTGTAAATTTAAATAAAATTGCTTCTAACCTTTTTAAGAACATAACCTTTTGGCAGAGCATGCCTGTAAATACAGTTTTCTCCATTCGGACAATTCCAAAACCAACCGTACTTATTATGCTCAACAGCATCCAAGAAATATTTACAGACCTGAAAAAAAAAGAAGTATGTTTATAATAAAAATAGGTTTCAAATATCACTGTTAAAATTAATTTTCATTGTAGAGAAAATAATTTAAATATCGATTTCTAAGTTTAAAAATCTGGTGCGCGCAACACACAACTTTCACTCACCGTTCAAATTTGAATAGAAATTATTTTCTGGCCATGTTGAACTATTATAAAATTTTTGAATTGCGTTTTTAACTGAGCTAAAACTAAAAAATGACAACTTACAAATCATAAACACCATTAAAATAACAAAAGTTTTATTTATTATATCATCGGTTGATTATGGATTGTACGATCCGTTGATTATGGATTTCACGATCTGTTGATTATGGATTTCATGATCCGTTGATTATGGATTTCACGATCCATTGATTATGGATTGTACGACTATTAGTTATTAAACTGTAATTTTCCATTGCAAAGTTTAATAAAACGGAATTAAGAGTTTGCATTGTCTATCATAGACAGGGCAAAAGTTGTCACACTACTTGTAAGTGGATACTGTTGGAATATCACAAAAGTTAGATTCATCAAATTATTTACTAATTTAATTTTCTAAAAAGTTACATAACAATATTTCGGAATAAACGGAGGTTGATATCTAATTATTTAAATATAATATCAGATCTAGAATTATTAAACTTCAGTAAATGTATTTAAGGTTATAAACATATGCATTATACATCCATGAAATGATTTTATATTTTATTTCTTCTTTCACACAAGTACATTGAAATAAGATTTTTAAACAATGTCATGGCCTTGATTAGGTGGATTTTAAATATTTTTTCAAACTTAAAATTTTTTTAAAAGGTGTGACTGATGTTAAATATTATTAGTTTTCAAAAATTATTATTTATAATTTTTTTTTCACTCTCCGTTACCTTCTACAACTTTCTATATTAGATATTGTTTATTCTAAAGTTCTCTGCTTTCCAACAATATCGATATATTATACGTATATTTTCTGACTAGTATTTACTGAGATTCATTTTCGAGCTGGATAAGCATTTTTATTTTTTTCTCCTTTATTCAATTATCAGATTCTTTGAAAAGTTATATTTAGTATTTTTTCGTAGCTCTTAATAATGAGAGATAGTTAATTATTTAAAATAAATCATATTAAATGTACTTTAGAGGAAGACGCATATGAACATTGGGCATTCAAGCCCTGTAAAGTGACATCAACAGAGATAAGACCTAAATGATATTAAAGACCACTTAATTATACAATGATACACCGAGTTTAATCAAAATCATTAGAGCTGTTTTTGAGAAAATTGTAAAAATGTGTTTCACCGTTAATATAAAGTGGCACTTCCAGTTAGCCGATTATAAAGAAAAAATTGCTGTCACATCTAAGGCATATGCCTATATTAAATACATAATATCAATTTCGTACGACGTTTGATTTTTGAGCTGGACTTCTAACATACAAACACATAGACCATTTTTCGGGACTTGGTTATTTGGACTCAGGGTACCCCAAAACGTGTATTTCCATTGAAAACTCAGATTCAAAAATTTTCATGATCGCAATACTTACCCTTACTACATATTACATAAATATGTAAGTGAAAGTAAAAATATGGAAAAATTTTAATTACAGTTATTAACAGAATGGATATTAAACAGCTGGTGTTTTCCTTTGAACTTATCAAAACATGATGAATAAAGAATTATTTTATTGATACAAAATAATATATAACTTTTTTGGACAATTTACATCATGTTTATTTATTAATATATCTTAAGCTTGGAAAATCAGAAAAAAAATCAAAAATTACAAATTACAAAGGTACTACTCTATTGAAAGTAAAGTTTTCAGTTGTTAATGTCTTCTTCCAAGCTAGCAATTTAATGTCAAATATAAATATAGGACATACGCAAAATGTGACCTGCATACCTAGAGGCTCAGTTCCCAAAACCTGGTAGAAGATCAACCATGTGGAAAATGTCGTAGAGGAAACCACACCTGAGAGACCATGGTGACATGATAAAGCATTTGAAGCTTGAGGCAGGTGGAAATTTATTTTGTGCAGGACCCATGGAATAATCTTGATTTTCCCAAAATGGTTGGAATAGGTTTGGTTGTACTTCAAGAACAACCTCCTCCCCTCTCCTCCGACTTTGGTGCATGCCAGAAATAGTGAGATAGAGGGTACAAGAAAAAAAAATCACTAAGTACTTTGATGAATTTCCCCTCAGTGAAATCAGGAAATCGTGCCCTTGGTATAATAATAATATAAAAAAGTTTGGAGCCATTTTGATACAATTATTAAATTTATTAATAACAAAGTATGGTTCTATCAAAAACAAAATTATTGATGTTTTGCAATATACCAACAACATATTATTTATACTTGTTAATACATCCTATACTAATTTTTATTTGTTTAAAATTTATTGAAAATCTTAGATTGGGTAAGTATTAAGGAAATCATTAAAAATATTACCATAATAAATTTTATAATAATAGATACCACTAATATATAAAAAACAGAAGCAACTTTGACAAGATTTAGTTACAACAGTAATTTAATTAGAGAAAACCCATTGATTAATAACCAAGGTTTGTTATAAATGAGTAGTGGACCTTGTCAGAACACCAAAGCTTTGGCTAACTTACATGACCTAATATGAGGAGATATGCATTGGTAGATCTTCGATTTCCTATGTTATTTAAACCCTTGTAAAATTTCCACTTCATTGAAAATTAAACTGTCTGAGGGAGGACCACAGTATTGTGAAATAAAGCTGTTTCAGCATGATAACTGCTTCTTATAATCAAGGCCCTTCGTATTTCTTTACAAAGAAGTGCAAATAGATAGATAATAATAAAAAAAGGTACTAGGCACTTACAATATCAGTTGTTGGTCTGTTCTTATCGCCTTCAAACTTTTCAATGATTTCTTTTCCACCATTTTCAAGTGCGTTCTCTTCATCATCATCTCTCATATCTACATAAATGCTTCTCTTTTCACCTTTCCTTTCAACCGCAAGGTCATGAGAAAACTTACATTTAGCACCTTTTGTACATTGACCAAGTTTGAAAAATGCACAAACTACTGATTTAGGATCAGCACCTATGACAAAAAGCAAACAATACATTTATTAAAAAAATAATTTAACTATGATTACAATAGGAATTCATATATTTATTATGTATATACCCTTTTCAACTTTCTGCACAGGCCTAAACAGCATTGCCATTTCTTTCTGATCTTGACTTTTGACATCTTTTTTCTTAGGATCTTCTAACTTTCTTGCTGGCACTCCTCCACTTTTAATTTGTTTTTCTACTTGCTGTATAAACTTTTGTTGCTTGGCTCCTTTTTTGTTTTTAAGCCCAAAGGTTTTATCCTATGGCAAAAACTAGCATTATGGTATCATATGCAGGGTTACACAATGAAATTAATAACAAGTCTACTTACCTCTATGACTTTCTCCTTTTTTTTCTGTTCAGTCTTTTTACTGGGAGCCGCTGCTTTTGCTTTAGGTGGCATTTTAAAGTTTATAAATTTCTACTAATTTATATATTTTTATAAACAGTAATCATAACCTTACTTCCATGATGGAAAGTACACCTTCAGGTACATAACCTGGTATTTACCGAATATATCGATGATGGCGACCATTGCTACGAGGTAAATTTAAGATAAAGACGAACATATATCAAGTTACTGGATAATTAATTATTATGGTAAATATCTGAAAGTACATTTCTTTCTTTTTTAATGGCCCATTTAAAATATCCTCGAATGCCCCAAGTTTAATCTGATTATTCCAACATTCAATAATAATACTGACGTATTGCAATTTCCACAATGGCATGCCTAATGAAAAACAAATATTTATTGTGTCTTTTAGAAATTATAAGATAATTCAACTTTGAAGATAATGAAACTTTTAAGTCTGTTATTTAAGATATGTATTACTTGTGTGAAATTAGGGACAAGTTCCTAAGCTCAGCGCTGAATTTAGGAGCTTGCTCTAGATTAGTCTTTAAATCCATTCAAACAATTAGTATGATTATGATTGCCATCCTATAAATCAAATAAATGATTTTTGAAATCTTTGATAATATTCAGTGGGATTTAATTATTTTCAAAGGTGTATTTACGATTGTTTCGATTTCGACCAGATTATTGCCGAACCGTCCACAGTTGTTTCGGTTTTACACATTTTTCCTAACTTTATTTTTCTTCATCATAACTTACTAATTTTTCTGGTTTGTCAGATCTTTTAAACGACAATATTTGAAATTTATACTGTTCTGCAAATTTCCTCCAAGTTTGGGTCAAATCGAATGTGCCGTTTTCAAACTATAGGCATACCAAATAACACATTTCCTGATCTGGAAGAATTTTTTTTTCGTATTACATAGAATTTGATAAAATTGGTGCGTATTTCATTTTACGTTTACCAATCCCTAAATTCCCTTTAAATTTGAGCCATATCAAACTTACGGAGTTCACGTTTGCGCATATATAAGAGAAAGCAATGGACAGAATTCTATAAAATTGGCTCTACATTATTTTTTTCACAAATACCTACCTTTTGTCTAACTTTGAGCCAAATTGAACGAGCCGTTTCGGAAGTATTGGCGTATCTTCAAAAATGCGTTTGCGAGTGCGTAAGCGAAAGTACTGGTTAAAATTTAATAAAATTGATATGGAACCATCTAGACACCAACCCGCACAATTCCTGAAAATTTCATAAAAATTGGATAAACATTAGTAAGGTGATATGCTCGTTACATCAATTTGACTACAGACAGGTACCGAACCAAATTTGATCCTTGATGTTTGAAAAGTAAAACGCGAGTGGAAATTTTCGATTCTGATTACAACGTTTTTTTTTAACTTCTCGTACGAATACAATGCTTCCCTACCTTTGGTAGTGAGGAAGCAAAAATTAAATAAATCATGTATTGTCTAAGATATAATAATAAAAAACAGTATATACTGTTTTTAACAATAATAAATAAAATTATTATAATCATAGATCAGATGTCAAAGTGGTCGAAACTATTATATAAGAATATAAGTCAAAAAGGTTTGCGCACCATCTCCGTATTAATCGGAGTAAAGTCGCAAAGAAGACTTACGGGACTCACTTGGGGGGAGGGAGGGAGATAAATACCGAAAGAAAGACACCGAATCTCCTCGGAAGAAGGCATGTGAGATGCTTTCCAGAAGCGGGTCCGTTTCCAGAGCTGTTCCAATCTATAATTGAAGATTCAGCAGAAGTACCCAATGAGTTTACAGCGGGAATAACTTACATGATACCAAAAGAGGAAGGATCCAATCTAGAACCTAACAACTTCAGCTCTATCACTTGTATAAACACAACATATAAGCTACTCACATCCATTATCACTATAAAAATAAATAATTATATGATGGATAATGAACTGTTATTACCAGAGCAATTGGGATGTAGGAAAAGAGCTAGAGGCTATAAGGAGCTATTAGTGATAGACACATTTATTGCCAATCAAGTGAGTAAAAAAAAGAGAAATCTTTCAATGGCATGGATTGACTATAAAAATGTGTTTTATACTGTACCACACAGTTGGCTAATTGAAGTTCTATAATTATATTAAATCCACCCAGGCATAATAAACCTTCTAAGACATCATGGAGCACATATCATGGACATTATGACATCATGGAGCACTAGATTGATAGTGGATAGAGGTCAAGAAGGTTATAACACTGAAACAATAAAAATTTTTCTGGGAATTTATCATATATTAAAAGAAAATCTGGCTATGGATAAGTATCGGCTTTGCTCGAAGATACATCAATCTATCCAAAATGTTACCAATTGCTGTGATACTCCGGCAGGAACGGAATACCTCATGAGGCGTAATAATGTCGCCAAGATTATACCACCAAAGTATGTGTAGAAAATTCAGACTACTGGAGAATGATGAGTTGCCCTACTATCGTGTGCTATGGCCAGGAAAAACTTAATGAAAATAGAAATATAAAAGTTTACTGGGATCAAAATATAATAACGGACCATACGGTATTGCATAACCATCTGGACATCTTGGTTATAAACAAAAGAAATAAAACTGGACAAATTATAGATGTAGCAGTACCTTGTGATACCATAAGAGCCGAAAATATCAAGAACTTGCTTTCAAGTTAAAAACGCTATATCACTTGAAAAAGTGAATATTACTCTAATAATCATATCTTCTAATGGTTTAATATTGAAAAGCACAGTAGAGGGTACCCAAGAACTTGGACTTGATTTGGCGCATTTAACAACAGTCCTGCTCGATACGTGCAGGATTGTCAGAGAGTTTCTAAATAAGTATTTTTTTTTTCATCTACATTCTCTTGAATGTTTTTTCTGCGATGTGGATGCTAAGATAATAAAATATACTATTAATATTATTATGAAACATTAAAGTTAAGAAGAAAAAAATCAATAAATGATTTTTTAATTCTGTTCTGTAACTGCAAATAACATCATCATCATAGGGGACGCTATGATCCATCACAAACTAGAGTGGCTTAATAGTAATAATATTATTATTATCAAGCCACTAATAATATTATTATAATTATTATTAAGCCGCTGTAGTTTATGATGGGCCATAGTGCCTCCTATGATGATGTTATTTGCTGTTACAGGATAGAATTAAAAATTATTTATTGATTTTTTTCTTTATAACTTATTGTTTCATATTTTTTAAATCAGAGTTTCATGTTTTCATTTATTTTCCTCCATTAATTGGTGACAAGTGTATTTTAAAATTAGTTAGTTTTTTTTTTTAGAAGGTTGCTCTCCCTGCTATTAATTAAACTTAAAACACTTCAGTTGATGAAGACTTAAGGATATATTTTTCCAGTATTATATTATTGATTTCTTAAGAAAATGCTAGAATTTTGATTGCTGAATCCTTTGAAGATTGATTCTCGGTAAGTCTTCAATAAATCACTCTGAAATTTATTATACACTTTAATACAGAGAAAATGGTAAATATTTAAATTAAATAAAACTACTTAATATAATTTATTTCTTTGATATGACTATATTTATACAGTTAGTTATTAATGTTGTTACAAACATACAATACTGATATAGGGTTATACTTCATTGTGCTAAATATTGCTTTGGGTATAACATACATTTATAATTATATTTATTTTTATAAATATTTGAAGTTAAATCTGAAGTATAAACAGTATTCAAAAAATTTATATGGTGTATAAAGTTTAACACCTGAACACCATTCATCTTAGCCACTCAGAAGTCAAATCGTCTATTGATATTTGGCACACATTTATTATAGTGTATTTATATCCCTAAAATAATTATTCTAATAAATTTACAAATATTTTATAGAATTGTCTTCTGAGGGCTTTTATAAACATTATATTTCCAATATAAATTATAAAATACAGTCCATAATTTAAAATGGCTATTATGTGATGTATTTGGTCCACATTCCATTATTTTATTTTTAAAAAGTAAGTTATACACACTAGTTTTCATTCATTAGCTAATCATATCAAACAAGCTTTTCGCCATAAAAAATGGAATGTATAAATTACAAAGTAAAAATTAAAAAAAGTAATAGTGCTGAAAAGCTGGCTGAATTGTGAAAGTTGATGTTTATACTTCAGAAAAACAAAGTTAAATAACTTTGTTAATCTTTTTTCTTTGATAGCTAAGGGTTGAAAAGGATTAACAACTATATTTATTTTCAATACCCTTATAGAATGGGATTTAACATTAATCTAATTTGGCCACTTATTTCATTAGTATTCTCAGGAAAGATATGAAACCACAGGGATAGTGAACTTTCTTTGTATAAACAATAGGTGTTCTCCCTTTTTTTTTTTTGGTTTCCTAAACTAACATATTTGAACCATGTTTTCATTAATAAGTCATTATACGATTCATAACACTGGATACCAATTTGAATAGTATACTACTAATTGCATTCAAATTTAAATCATTTGTTCATGTATCCATAGCATAATGAAAAGTATAAACTGTACTTATACAACTTAATGTCTAATAATACAGATACATAGAGGAATAGACATATATATTGAAAAAAAAGGTGCTTCCTTTTTAATAATTGATTATGATGTATTTTAAACATTTATATCTCATAACTTCGAGCTGAATATGCTCTAGTCTCATTAGTAAAATGATGGAAAGAAATGTGCTTAAGAAATATATATTTATTATTTAAAGCTCCTAAAAGAAAAGTGGTGTTCACTTTATTAAAGTCTCTAAATAATTATGAGAGTCATTCAAATATTCGTAATCAGATTAACAGTTTTAAATAAATATTTATTTTATTATTCCTTTGAAATAAAAATATGTCCTGATATTAATTTATAATATCGCAGTTTCAATAAACAGAGAATTTAGTTTTCATAATACATCTAAAAGATAAAGATATATATATATATATATATATATATTATATATATATATATATATATATATATATATATATATATATATATATATATATATATATATATTGATATTTAATGACACACATATTAAGAACAATAATGGGAAGTGTATTGACTGAAGAAATTATCATTAA